ACTGTTGCTACTGCAGATTTGACAACTCATGCACTTTCAACGTCTCTTTTTAGCACAACCAGAATGCAGCCTTAAGAAGGCTACAGGACTCACTATTATCTTAAGTCTCATGATTCTTACTCTCATCTCTTGGTCTTTGAATTATTTGTGCTGGCAATATCAGTCCCATGTATTCAAGAAGTCCCATTTTTTTTTTAGAGAGTTGCCACTTTTGGCCAAGGGGCTAATTCCTCGGCTCTGTTTGGTGCCTTTGAAAATCTCCCCCTTCTCCCCTATTAGTTTGCTGGTGTGTGCGGACCTGAGTTCTAGTTCTGGCTGCAATACTTGGGTGCATTTAGAAGGGAAACAGAAGCCAACATTGTATATGGGGAAATGTATTTAATATACTGGCTGAAGGATCTGTAGTTAATAACTATTTCTTTCTTGCTTATAACCCTTATCCTTGTTCTGCTCTTATCCTCTTACCCCATTTTCTCTCTTTTCTTTATGATTGCCAGGCATGGCATATTTTTCCCGCCAGGCTGCCATTTCTCATGGCACATTCTGTGTCCTCTTCCCTGTATTTTGCCACCTTTTATTTTTCCCCATTTGTCTCTCAAACATCACCCATCTCTGTCCTCTACTTTTCTTATACATGGCTCCTTCCTTCTCTATGTCCATCAAGCATATGTATAACGCATACCCAGCTACATTCTCAGGCACTGACAAGCCCACTGCCAGCCATTTTATTACCCCTATCAACACCACAAGATAATGCTAAATCTAGCCTTCCAGGTCCTTACTTTCTATTTGCCCCTTACTAATTATTCTTCTGGCTGCATAAGTCAGAAAGAATATACAACTAGAGCCTGCCATCCAGAAAATCACAGACCTACTAAGGAAACCCCCTGCACCATAAAATAACTACGCTGACTGAAGCCAAACTTCTGGATGCCTCAGGTTTCTGGTGCCCAACCTCAGAGAAACAGAAAGGAGCAAATTGTTGAGCTTCCACTCTCTTAAATGGAGGCTTCTCTAAAGATGACTCACATTAGGCCCCTCAGCACAGTAGCACCTGAAGTTGTCAGCCTCTTGTGAAAGTTAGCTGGCAGGCTCCAAGTTTTTTAAGTGCTAGGGGATTGCCACTCCTCTTGACCACAGTTGGAGTGGTGGGTGTTCAACTTGCAGACAATCTAGGTCTTAACTCTTCAACCTTTCTGTAAGGTGGAGGTCAGTCATGATCCTTACTGCCAGGACATAGCATAAGGTGATGTTCAGGAGGCTTTGTACTGTAGCCTCCTGAGAATGAAGGAAACTATTGTACTGCAGAGCAAGTCAAGAGAGTTTCTATAGTTTCTTGACTATAGAAGCCTAGTTCAGTCTTGCAAGAGCGCTCTTGATTGTTATATACGTACAAGGTTCCCTCCGTGCAGCTCGTAATCCCAACCCTGTGGTTTTAAAAAGAATAGATTGAACTGGGACTAATTCCTGTGTTAACTCTTTGTTTTGGAGTACATACAGAAACACCCCCAAGCCTCATAAATGTTCACAAAGGAGCTGGTCTCAGCATACAACAGTTCATGTTTGCTGCCAAGCTGAGGGAAGCTGCTTCCCACTATTATCATAGCTCTGTCTATAGTGACTGTACGTAGAGGGACCCCACCTTCTGCTAGCTCCTTTTTTATATTATTTTGCCCATTTTACTGAAAAGGCATTTGTTCTTTTAAAGAGAACATGGGGTGCTTTTAATTAGAACAAGCTCCATGATCTGAAGACTCTGTTCTGCTTGCAACACCATTCAGGTTTGCGTTCCAGCCTTGGTCGCTGGTTGGGGGCCAGAGTGGGAAGCGCTAATCCGTTGTTACTGTGAACCTCTCCAGAGAAGATTTGACACAAGCTCTTTTTGGGCCTGAACGTTCCAAATATGTGTGTGGGAAGGATGATTCCCTTCACTGTGTCCCTTTGATCTCCCTGGCTGAGGATTTCCCCTCTAGGCCTATTGTTTGCACATTGCTGTAACTACAGGAAAACAAACACATTATGCAGTTTCCCAGGCTGACTCACCCCTGCACTTGATGCATCATGTTGTCTGGTTAACCTGATTGCATCATGTCAGCATGGGAAGCTTAAAGGCTGGTTTTTCTGAGTAATAATATTGCAGCACAGCAGTAACGACTTATTCGGTATTGTTATTGCTATTATCTTCAACCTGCAAAAAGAATCCGGCAAGCTGGGGCTCCAGTAACCAGACCTTCTGTGAATCACCAGCTGGAGGCAGGGGGCATAGTTAAATCCTGCAGCATGTTCACATAAAAGCCTTTTACCCCTGGAAACTTAGAATCAAATAATGGTAGGGGTCATAAGTGAGTGTGAGAGCAGGGTTTTCTCATCCTCCACTCCCAAGGGATGCATTTGTGTGACGTTCTTATAATGCTCAGCCCCAAACTATCTCATAGTTCTGTAACTAGTTTAAGCATGGCACAATCCCAATACATCGGTGCTTTTCAACTTTTCTAGACTCCAGTCCAGGGATTGGCAGTGTTTTTGGCAAGTGTGCCAAAAACATGGTGGGGGAGCCATGAGGGGCCCAATCCTTGTTGTGGCAGCCCAGCCTTGGCCCCTTCCCTGAGGCACACATGCCAAGCAAAATGCCTTGGCATGCCATGCTCTGGCACATGTGTTAGGAGTTGCCTACCTCTGCTCCAGACCGTCCTTGGAAAATGCCAGGTCTTAGCTTTGTTTCTTGACTACAGAAAGATCATAGAGCAATTCTTCTTTTGCAAAGAATTCAACAAGTTTGCAACAGATCAGAATATGTTCGACACCAAGGACTCTTTGGAAATCTCTGGATTTAGCTTGTGAGTCATGTAGATGTTTTCATGGCTCCCGGTTGTACCCTTAAAGGATCTTGCGGCACCCTAGTTGAGAATTACTGCCATACACACAGGTGAGAAGCAGCAAGACAACACAGTCCCTCAATCAGTTTGGTTTTGGTGGATGGACGGATACTAAAGCACGTCTTCTTCCATTAACCAAATCTTTGTGGAAAATAACAAAGGCTATTTACATGTGACACCCAATCCCCCATACTTGCCTTTAAAATGCAAGTGCCAAGTTATGGGACACATCTTAATGTCCCCTTATTCCCACAAAAAATCATATTTCCACTGATAGCAAGACTCCGTATCTTCACAAGGGACTTCCTTCTGCCGGCAGCTGATAAGGAAACATGCTAATCTCCCTCACACTATAACGTGGAATATTCATTACACCCTATAGTCAGTATTTTCACAACTGGCAGTTAAATTTCTGCGCATGTGTGGGGGAAATATGAAATCCAGCTTCCATATGCATTTGGTGATGCAGTCCCTTGTGCTGCAGCAACTGAAGTCAAATATTGAATTTTGCCACCAAACAACATCAGTTACAACAACCATCAACCCTGCTGCTAATCACACCAGTGACCGGTTGATGAAAGCCATTACTGCTCTATTCCTAGACCCATCCAGTTTACAAGGACAATAGGATGATAGGAATAAAACAAATTAGGTTCAATGCTCTGCTCTGTCCGACCTGGTGCTATCTGGGGCTTACCTCTCTCACCCCCAGAGCAAGGTTTATAACAGGTTGTGAGGCCCATCAGATCCTATTTTAATGGGGCTGCTTAAATCCTCTCTTTCAGATTTTTGAGTCAAACAGCATTCCATGCGAATAAGGGGCCAAAGTGAATTAAAGAAGTTAACGGTTTGTTCTGGCATGGCAATAAAACACTGGTTAATAAAGCCCTCTGAGTTTATGGGACACAATGAAAAAGAAATTATGCAAAAAGCTACAGCTACACTTGAACAAGTTGTTGCATCTGCACACTAAAACATGAAAGAATCATCTTTTATAGGACATGTCCAAACACCATCTGTGTGTCTCCATCCTTTTTATAAAGATTTTTTTTTTTGGAGATAGCTGCACAGTTAACCAATCTGATTATTTTTATCCAAGCTTCTGAAGGAAGAGACTATTTCCTGTATGGAACTGTAGTGATCTTCATATTTGACCAAGATTATCAACTGTAATTTAGGGATGTTTTATTGAATGATTTCGGCCATTTCACCTGAGCCCATGACACACCTTCAAATTCTAATCCGTTTCAATTTATGGTTCTCAGTTTTAGCTTGCAAGGTAGCTGAGTGTGCCACTTTCAGCTTTCTATACAAGAGATTGAAAGGAGGTTGCCTTGTGTAGCAATGCTGTCTTGTGATCCATTAGAGTTTATTGTGTTAGTCTCTAGACACAAGAGCAGATTGTTATATCCCAAACATGTGCACAACTGTGCTCCAATTTGCTTTCTCTATTGGTAGTATTGTGCAAAGAAAGCATTTTTCCATGCAGGATTACATAAGAATTTGGTGCATTATATACCTAATTAACAAGTTTGCATATGCAAATATGATAATTGTATATACATTTGCCTGGCAATTTATTTATTTCTTTTTAATTTGCATCAGCAACTGTTGGAGTATTCCTGAATGTGGAGTAATGTATGTGTCTGAAGTCACAATAATGCTGCTTCAGTGCATCCTTCTGTCTGCTCACAGAAAAGCATATGGTGCCAGCCTACCTTTGGCTTAACTTGTGCATTCTGATAAGAAAACCTATAAATGTTGCTGGAGCCTTGTCTCTGCTTGATTTGCATAGTCACAGAGCAACTTTTTCATAAACAGACTTTGAAACCCAGGGGGACCATCCGTTACCTCTGCCATCCTTTACCTCCCCTATGCAAGATGAAGTTTCTTTTCTACCTGGGAGAACTTTTACAATCTTTGAATTTTCTCTGCCTAACGAAGGGTGTTTGGACATGAAATTTTTCTGCTGCTATTTAGTTGGTCTAATAAAAGATACTGCCTCTAGCCCAAGAGTTATGTCTGTCTTTGTCTAACCTGAGTATATGAATAACTGTTTACCCGTAGGGGTTGGCCAGCCATTTAAAAATGTAAGTAATCAAGAACTATGTATATTTTTTCCAGGGATTCAGATCTGTTCCTACTTGACTCTCGAACAATCTGGGCTGCAGAAGAAGGCTGGTTGGTGTTTGATATCACAGCAACCAGTAATCACTGGGTGGTAAACCCACAACACAACCTTGGCCTGCAGCTGTCGGTTGAGAGTATAGATGGTAAGGCTCAGTCATGACACTGACACGCAGAACCCTAGCGGGGATGAATCTGAATGCTGCGGGTTGTGTTCCACTGAGTGTGATGTCTTGTCTTGAATTTTCTTAAGATGCAAATATTGGAATAACGGTGCAAAGTTATTACAATAAAAAGACAATGTTGTCAGTCCGTGTTTAAAATATGAAACCCACAACTGATTTCAAAACAATTGTGTATTTACATTATGGTCTATTATTATTATAATCATCATCATTGAAGGCCCTACAGTCCATTCACAGTATCTGATGAAGTAAGCCTGGTGCTTACAAAAGCTTATACAATCCATCTTGGATTTAGTCTATAAAGTACAAATCTACCCTGTCTTCTACTCAGCTTCAGACTAACACAGCTAACTACCTCTCTATGGTCTATTAAAACAGTTAAGTATGTATGTAACTTTAAGTATCTGTGCAAGGACTGAGATGCTTAAAGGTTGGTATTTGCTTAAATGCTTTACTGGCTAGGTAATCTGTGTACACATTTACCAATCAAATAGCCATGAGTATTACACCTGTAAATAATCCATCAATTTTGCAGTCACAGGCCAGATGAGAGCTAGCATAGTGGGCTGGTTATTTCACACCTGTCTATCAAGGGGGCCTGACCCCGTTCTCTGAAGCATCTGGTACTAGCTGCTAGCAGACACAGGATACTGGTCTATACCAGGGGTGGGCAATTATTTTGGGCAGAGGGCCGCTTACTGAGTTTTGGCAAGCCATCCAGGGCCGTATGATGGACAGCCCAGGGCAGATAAATATTAATTTGCTAAATCTTTTAGGGGCCCTACGGGCTGGATAGAATGGCCTGACGGGCTGAATCCAGCCCCTGGGCTACATTTTGCCCACCCCTCGTCTAGACTGATTTCAAGATTCATCCAGTAAGGAACATATTTGCATTCATTGTTCGTGGAGTGTAATTAACTGTCGCATCATTTTCAGTTATGTTTCAGAATCTGCTTGAACTCCAAAGACTTCTATTTCTGAAGAGGGAGAATGAATCCAATGAGTCCTTTAAAATTTTTAAATTGCTTAAATTGCCAATAATGCCTGTGGTACTAGAAAATACATGCCACATATCTTGGGGAAGAATGGTTCTTTTATATGTGGTCTTCCAATTATGTTGCTAGGATTTAGCGCTCAACAGTTGCAGTCTAGAAATATTTTCCATACTCTGGGCGCGTCTACACGAGACACTCCCTGTGCAGTAACCTGATACTACTGCACAATAGCATCTTGTGTAGACATGCCCTCTGAGTACATTCTCTGTAGACTAAAATCAGGGCTGTAGGAAGCAAGGAAACTTTAATAGAAGGAGGGCACGTCTACACATGTGCATTTACTGTGCAGTAACCAAAATTACTACACAGTAGGGGCATGCATCTACACATTCATACCTGTACTGTGCAGTAAATATGGCAATTTACTCCTACTTGCGTGTAAATTTGATACCTGCATCATGTAGGTATCAAATTTATGACTGATTAGTTACTGTGCAGGAACACACATGTAGACACCTTACTGTGCATGTATTTAGACAAACTTGGGACTAACTTTAGTTCCAAGTTAGTCTACACACAACGTTAATGCTCTTTAATGCCTGCACGTGTAGACGCCAGCCTATTCCTGCTCACTGCATGGTAACTTACTGCACAGTAAATTTAAGCTGGCATAAATGCACATGTAGACACACCCAGAGTGTATGAAAGAGAACTAGGAGCTAGACCAGTTGTAACTTCATAAAGAATAAGTCTGAATATTGTATAAGCCAATTCAATTTATATATACAAACATGAGAAATTTTCATTGCATTTTACAAAGAGAGGTGCTCTGCTCTTCGGTTTGTGAAATAAACAGCAGACAGGATCACAGCAATTTCAGTAAAGAAAGAAATTATGTCCTTCAGAGGAAAATGTGCACCTTCAAAATGAATGTAAATGTATAGTAGATAGGGAAGTTTCTCCTTCATTCTTAGTTCATTAATAGGCTATGGAGCTGATTTTCACTATTGACTGTGAACACGGAAACACAGACCCCAGACCATGTGCATACGCATTGGTGTGTGCACGTACCATGATTTGAGTGTACAAAAGGGTGTGTGAACTCTGGATATTTTATCCTGGAGTATAAGTAGACTTAATAGACTTTGGATTCCAGACCTAGATTTTCAGAATCCCCCACAGAATAGAATGTTAAAACTGTGAAGAGAGTTTGGGTCATTTCTCAGACAAAGTAAATTGGTAGACAATCAAAACCAGACCCTTATCAATCTACGAACAAGCCTGTCTCCTCAGGGAAGGCACAGGGGACAGCTAGTTGCATAACTCCAATCAACTTTCAGTGGGAGTTACGGCCCTAATTTCCAAATGTGCCTTTGAAAATCTCCCTCAGAGTTCATAAACACATGATAATCAGGCAAACAAAAAAGACTATGTTAGAAAATAATACCCTGCTTTATCAAAACACATTGATGAAAAACTAGTGACGTATTTTTTCAAAGCTCTGGGGCCAGCTTCATCCTTGAGAATGGAACCCCCTGGACACTAGACCTTGCATTTAAAATTAAATCCATGAGGAAATCTTTGCAGTATTGCTTTTCCCAGTTTCGGGCTTATGTTCCCTTCCATGGTGAGCTGCAAGGGCAAGCCCTTCTCTGATCCCTACATTTCTTTTGGGTTCAGATCAACTGCATGTTAGTTATAGAGCTAGGGAGTTACACCTGGATTTTATGTCAGATTGTTGCGCGCCTGCAAACACCGCAGGACTCTGATGCAAAACTAGACGCTTGTGAACAAAGCAAAACCATTCAGCAGACATAGCCTGAGTTTAAAGTGAATAATGGAAAAGGAAATCTAGTCAGTAGTGCCTGGTTTGGAAATGGGTACTGATCGTTTTGCACGGTGCTCTCCATGCATGTAAGTAGGATAGTAAAAAGATGGAGTTATAATACACACTGTCCAGCTACAAAGTAGATGAGTTCACTTAACTGCTCTTTATAAGCATGCCAGATTGGTTTCTCCATGAGAGGAACTAGGGGGGAATTAGAGGTTATTTGTTTACTCTTAGAAAGTCAAAATAAGCTCAAGCAACAAGCCAGGGAAACGCTAAAGTGATTCATTAGCCTCAGGCATGCTGTCAACCTAAACTCGGTTCCTGACAATACATAGGAACAACAGCCATCTCTTTAAGTTTACTTTGCCTATTACTTATTGCTTCATATCCTGTTTTGCTCAGCACAGAAAAAGGCAAACTTCTTAAAGATAAATAGGCTGCACTCTCCAATTTGCAAGCATGGCTCTATTTCATTTGAGACAAGTACATAATTGGTTAATTAGGACTAGACAGATGCCCTTAAACTTAACCACATTCTTCCTTGATATTTGGTCCCCGGCTGTATGAAGAAGTTGAAATAAATGCCGGGAATCAAGTGGGGCTTTTTCACACAGTTTCATTAATGAGGAACATACTGCCTCTCTGGTGCTAGTCTCACACGGGATATTTTAATGTCTTTTTTAATAGGGCATAAAAGTTAAACAAAATGTGCATTCTTAAAATTATATATTTTGCCACCGCATGGCCCTGGTGACTTTCCGGTTTTTTTAAGTTCCTTTCTCCATTAATTTGTTCACGGGTCAAATTCTGCATTCTGATATACTCACGTATGCCCACTGTGTCACCCAAGCAGAGATGGATCCATATTGTTAAGATACTTGAGAGCAAGGTGGTACAGGTAAAATGATTTACCCCCGTAAAACCATGGTAATAATTTAAAGGAAGTGATAGTGGAAAACAGAAAGGTTTGCTTATAGGGACTCAATGGGATACTGCGTGAATCCCAGCTTGGACCGGTTTAAACTCGTACTCGGACAGGAAATAAAGCCTTGAGCCAGCAAAACACATGGTAGCTGTTAAGCCTGTGAGAAGTTCCATAGACTTCAATGAGACTAAGTCTGTACTTGGAGCTCTGCACACACTTGAGTGCTTTGTGGCGTCTTCAACCTGGACATTTTTAAGAGCAGGTTAGACAGACACTTGGCTAGGACGGTTTAATTGGGAATGATCCTGCCTTGAGCAGGAGGGCTGGACACTAGAGCAGCGTTTCTCAACTGGTGGGTCGCAACATAAAAGTGGGTCACAGGAATTCATGAAAGGGTCGAGAACAAATTAAAAAAATGGATCAACAAACTTTAAAATGGATTCTTGTTTAAAGAAGCAAAACGTGGGAAACTGTGGCTTTTTCCTTGCAGGCTGGCACAGTTCCATCTGCCCCACATACCCACCCCCTGCCCCACACACTGAGGGGTTCAGGGCTGGGAATGGGGGGCACTAGGTCGGGACTGGCCATCAATGTTTACAAATGAGTCCTTGTACAAAAAGGTTGAGAACCACTGCACTAGAGGACCTTGTGCGGGCCCTTTCAGCTCTAATTTCCCATAATCCTATAAAGTATCCTTAAACACCATTCCTTTCTGTCTCAGTGACTTTGAGCCTGGGTGCTGATAGAAACTGAAGTGGTCTCTGGAAGGGGTCATGCACAACTGAGTCAAAACAGATTGGCAAGGCCCTGGTTTGTAGGGTCATTGCCATTAGTCCTGCCTCATCTCTTTCGTAAACAGTGGGCTTCAGCTTCCAGCTATATCAGTCAGGTAGCTTCTACTGAAACAAAAATGTATTTAAAATGTCTGCATAATAAAGGAGCAATCAATAACCAATGTATGTATAACCAGGTTATCCAATTCAGTAGTGCTATGTTGGACAAATGTAGCAATAAACAAAATGTCTCTACAGATCTGAACTAGTTGCTGTTTTCAAGTGCAATCTTTTTGGAACTATGTCAACATTTAATACAAGGCATTTTTATTTTAAGTTAATAACCTTCCAGTGGGAATTTAGTGCCCCTATGGGCTGAGCTTTATGGTTCCTTTTATAGGATCACTTCAAATTATAGGTTGGTGAACTTCAAGAAACCCCTCTAAAGAATTCAGGCAAAAGCTAATGCTAAGCTGATTTAGAGTAAAATAATTAAATGTAGGAACATTTTATTTCCCTTTTACATGCAGATATAAAGTGAAGTTAGCTGTACTGAGCTGTTCCTGTTAGAAGTGGCTTTGCCTATTAATTTTAAGTCCAGTCCTTCAGTTGATCCATGCAAATAGATATCAGCTAGGAATGTTGTGTATGAAGTAGTATTGGCCAGTTCTGTCTCATATTATCATCACTCCTGTCACTGGAAATGGAAAGCTTTTGTTAGGCTGTTGGACTGATTTTCTGTCTGTTTTGTTAAGGACAAAGCATCAATCCCAAATTGGCTGGTCTTATTGGAAGACATGGCCCACAAAATAAGCAGCCTTTCACAGTAGCGTTCTTCAAAGCCACAGAGGTTCATCTCCGCAGTATTCGTTCCACTGGAGGCAAACAAAGGAGCCAGAATCGATCAAAAGCACCAAAGAACCAGGAAGCTTTTCGGGTGTCCAACGTTGCAGGTACAGTAGGATTTTGTTCTTGGGTACCAAATATCCACATAATATATGGTAGAGACCAGAACAAGACAACTTCTGTTTGCTCAGGCAATTTGTTCTCTGTTTTCCTTATGTGCTTGAGTATGTTCAGCACCTTCTCAATGTCCATGGCAGGCCCAAACAGTAGGGGTGTGCGAAACGGGCCGTATTCGATTCAGATTTGGATTCGGCCCAAATCGGGAACAGTGATTCAATTTGTTGATTCGGATCACTGTCCCCGCTTCGATTTGGCCGAATCAGAATCTGAAGATTTGATGCTGATTCAGAGAATCAGTGATTCGGACATAGACACGGCTTTAAATGTTTTTTCGACATACCTCAAAGTACCAGGCATGGCTCATGAATACTGCGATGCTGGGGCGCATGGAGCATCCCACAGGAGTGTGTGGGGGCTCCGCCCCCCCGTGTGCTTGGCAGCCAACCCAGAAGTGGGCCAAAAATACTTCTGGTCCACTTCCGGGTCTACCGGGGAGCGTGTGGGGAGCTTGGGAGCATGCGGGAGCTTGGCGATCAGCTGCGGAGGAGCCCAGGTGCCCCCTGCAGACACAGGAGGCACCGATTGCCAAGCTAAGTGCACTGCGGACTCCCCTGCGCTCCCGTGGGATGCTCCATGTGCCCCAGCATCACAGCATTCATAAGCCGCGTGCTACCTAGAGGTATGTAGAAAAAACATTTAAAGCTGTCTATATCCAAATCTCTCCAAATTGATTTGGAGAGATTAAAGGGTCTCCTGATTCGATTCAGATTCAGAAATTCGGCCACCGAATCGGGCTGAATATCTGCTGAACTGAATCAGGGACTGAAGCTTTGCACAGCCCTACCAAACAGTATTTGTGGCTGGGAATTAGAAAATCCTGTTTGAGTGAAACTGAAGTTCCTTACAAGATAGGGTCAGTTTTGACAACTTTTTTTAGCTCAAAAGCAATTTAAACAATGACTATATTGTCCACACACTTATGCATACACACACAAAAAGAAATCCAGTTTTCTGATTTCAAACAGCTTTTGAGAATTTGAACTCTAATTATATGAAGTAAAATTTAAAATGATCAAAATTGAGAAAACAGTTCAGTTGGCTTGAAAACAGATTTTTTGGGTTGTCAGCTCTGAGGTTTCTGAGATTTATTTTTTGTTCTGAATTGGATGGAAAAATATTTGGAAGTCTCCAAAATTTTCACAGGATGGGAAATATGTTTCCCACCTGGCTTTACTGGAACTCTTCACTCGCACGACCAAAACTATTATTTGGGAGTCTCAGCTTTGTAAGTTGGAGAGAATTTTAAGAAAGATATTTAAAATAAAAATCTGAATCAAGTTTTAGCTGCCTCAGAACACGGGGACGGTTTCTGACCTCTGTTAATGAACAGCTAGCTCACTTGAAATGGAGAGCTAACTCTGTGGAAGTTGATGGAGTATGGATGTGTAAGAGATTGCATGAGGCAGGGCCAACATGCTATGCAGGTTTTTAGTATTTCTGCTAGCTTTGCTTCCCTCCAGTGCACGCACCCTTGCTTCTAGCCTGAGATGTCTTGCTTCTAGCCCTTCACTAATCATTCCAAAATCCTGTGATCTCTTTCCTGGATAGGGGCAATGTTCCTTCTTTCTGAATATTTTGGGCTCCTTGGGCATTCTTACATGTGTTTCCAATGTGGCGCTGGAAGCTTTTAATTAGCAAGCCATGATAAAAGTGCCCTGGCATCACATGTATCAGTGGTGCAGTCATTTCCATGCTGAGAAAATGGTGGTGGTGCGTTTTGAACTAAAGCACATTGAACATGTTTTAGTGCAAAGTGCTCTGCCACCATTTTCTCAGCGCAGAGGCATGCTGCACCATTGATACATGTGACGCACAAGGCTGCCAAAGCACATCAATTTGCACGCTCCAGCCGACTTGATTTCCAGTGCATCTGGAGCAGGCCCCCTGGCTTTCCATCATAAACACGCAAAGCATTCATCTGTTTTCATGTGCAAGACCAAAGTAGACATGCACATTTTTTTCATCCCTTATCCTGGGGACTACATCTATCCTGTACAGGATCTGAATGGACAAAAAGGCAGATCTATTTTTCATAGGACATATATACACATGTGTTTTAATGTGCAGTAGCTTATTTTACTGCTCATTAGAGCATGATGGCAAGAAGCGTGCTAATGTGCAGATTAATTAGGCTACTGCACATTAAGTGTCACTAAAAAAGCATGCGCTTTCAATACTGCGCAGTTGGGCAGCCTAATGCACATTTAGTTAGTACCTCACATTAGAAGGTGCCTATACATGAGCACCGAGGCTGCTGTGATGCACTGGAATTCCAGCGCGTCTGAGCAGACTCGATTAATCGAGTCCATTGGAGCATGGCAATTGCTACGTTCCAGCGGCCTCCTGCGACTCAGGTATCAAGTTCCTTACCTTGGTTTCTGGCCCCCCACCACTGCAAAGTTTCCTCATAATTTATCTGCTTAGTCGGTCACTGAGTGGTTCTTTCCTTCCTTCCTGGTGACATGTCTCTTCTCTGCCCTGCCCTGCATTGCGTGTCCAAGCTCACAAGTTGGGCAAAACCGTTCTAAAGAGAGCATGGATTTCTGACTGTTTTTCCAAATTCTTCCATCACAAGAAAATTTGCAGTTCACTGTATAAAATCTCTCCAAGGCTAGTTTAGCAATCAGTCCAGGACTTAATGGTTTGCGGTGTGTGACAGATAACAGAACTTCTCACCTCTATAAACAGTCAGAAATGTGATTGTGAAGGTAACATGGTTGGTGGCTGGGTGTCTCCAGTTGGCGTAGTTTAAAAGATCACTTCTCCAGTTGCCAGACTCAGTGGTTCAATCCAAACAGCGGACTGGAGTTTGAGTCCAGCTTTAAAGCTTGCCTAAGATCGGGCTCATTTGAACCAACATCTTTTATCTTTTTTCTATGGGGCTCATCACCAGTTGAATTTGCAGTCAGAATATGGCTGCAACACATGGACGATAGATTTCAAGTCATTCTCCTATGGTCCTACCATCTTTTTAGAGCATGCAAAGGGAACCCAAGTCAGTAGCCGATAACTCAAAGAAATGCAAGGTACAGATACATTAAGAAAGCATGGTCTTTCTCTGAGTCCCTTTCCTGCATGTCTTTCTGGTTTTCTTACTATACCATAGATGTATATCAAAAATAAAGTTGGTTTTTACCAACCAGAAGCTCCCACAGGTCCAAGAAAGCCCTGCAGAAACAAATTCATTTCCCAGGACTTCCTGGGCTTTGCACAGGAAGCCAGATAGGTGGTTTAGGCATACTGAATCCAGCTGGCATCTTACAATTAAAATACAAGAAGCTGAAAATGATAAAAAAAAGCTGACCAATGGTAGAAAGCAGCACAGACCTGCAGAGGCAAGTAGTGTATCATTCACAGTGTGATGTTGCCAGGACATGTCAGTGCTGGGGAGGTTCAGCAGCTCTGGGAGATAGTCTTAGTAAGCTTTGCTTTCATTGTGAAATTGCACTAACGCGTTCAGTTGGCCAGTATGCACTCACTTGGTTTTGATTTTTTTCCAACTCAGAAAACAGCAGCAGTGATCAGAGGCAAGCCTGTAAAAAACATGAGCTGTACGTCAGCTTCCGGGATCTCGGATGGCAGGTAAGGTTTCTCTGCTTGCACGAAGGATGGACAAAGCCCTTTGCAGTCGTTCATCTTTTTACTTGTAACGTTACCCCAAAGACCACATTTTTGTCCTGGGCCTCTGAGTGCACAGAAGAGATCATGCAGATTGGGGACCAGTTTAAGACTGGCTGAAAATTTTTGTCACCTCAGATGTGGCCAAATTCAGACCTGAGTCTTTCTCTTTCTTCAGTTCCCTCTGTGGTTTCAATTGGATGTTCTATCCTTCGCTTTCTGTAATTCTCCAAGGTGTTGCTCAGCAGCTCCAACTCTATGTGCCAGAAGTGATCACGTTTCCATACTGAGTGGAACAATCTTTGTTGATACTTTGTATATAGCAGTTTGAAAAGTGATATGAGATCTTTCAGGATAAGTGGGAGCTGTAGAGGTGCAAAGAATCGATTATATTGCCAGGGCCGGTAGTTTAATGGGGAGTGGCATAGATTTTTTTTGAGTCTGTCTATGTATTTGACTTGAGAAATGTGAGTTTCATTCCAGTTTTCATGCCATTGTACATACCAATCTATCCTTCCTCCACATCTAACATCCTCGATTTAATCCAGGACTGGATAATTGCTCCGGAGGGCTATGCAGCTTATTACTGTGAAGGAGAATGTGCCTTCCCACTGAACTCATACATGAATGCTACAAACCATGCTATTGTGCAGACACTGGTAGGTGCAGTTTCAGTTTGTGTTTTGCACAGGAATAAATGTTATGCAAAGGAGAAGCCTCTGAGTTAGCAGGAAAGCAGATGTCTACATTAAAGCATTGTAATACCTGCAGCACCTGGCTGAACTGGTCTAGCCAAGTGGCTTGAATTAATAGTTGGCGTGGGAGTACCCAGTCTTTGTTGGAAGCATTAACATGCTCTATGAGTGTAAAAGGACCTGCCAATAAAGACAAATGGCACTGTAGAAGAGGGAAAGGATTTGAGGGGGCAAATAAGAGGGTAAGCATTTCTGGATCAAAACTTCATGGCATCTGCCTAAAGCAGATTTGGGGGCCACTGGGAAGGGGCTGATGAAGCTATAGCTATAGGGATGAGCCACCCGTGCCTCGAGATGGCAGGAAACCAGGTTGATCCATACCGGAAACTGACCTGCAGCTCCTCAGAAGCGTATCATAAAGCCAGCAAAGTTTCACAAAAATGTGGTGGCTGACAAATTGACATTTGCTGATAAAACCTGTTTCACAGTAAGAATCTTAACAGGTCCTGGATGGATCTTTCTGACTTTGGGCCTGGCTGTGCTGCTTGTCAAGCCCATCCTTTGAATGTGAACATAAGGGTGTTCACACACACGAGTCAGATGCAGGATGTGTGGGTGTTTATAGATGTGCTCCAGGAGTGGGGGGAAGGAGAGGTGCTTTAATTAGTGCAGCTCTGAGAGCCGCTCTAATTAAAGCATCTGGAGTGTCACATGTGTCAGCATCCCCACACAAAAATGGCAGTGGGGGCACTTTATCTAAAGCTCGTCAAATGAGCTTTAGTTACTTTATCTAAAGCTCGTCAAATGAGCTTTAGTTACTTTATCTAAAGCTCATCAAATGAGCTTTAGTTAAAGTGCTCCCACCACCTTTTTTCAGTGCAGAGACACTGATACATGTGGTGCTGGAGTCTGCTGAAGTGCAGTAATTACCATGCTCCAGCAGACTTGATTGAGTCTGCTCTGACGTGCTGTATTTACAGCACGTCAGAGCACATGTATACGTGCCCTGCGTGTTGAAAAGTCTGCACAAGACAGATCGAGTGCGGGTGGGGAAAGGGGAAGGGAGAGAAATCTTAACATCATTTACTTTCATCCCCCAGGTTCACTTTATAAACCCAGAGACTGTGCCGAAGCCCTGCTGTGCTCCTACACAACTCAATGCCATCTCAGTGCTCTATTTTGATGACAGCTCCAACGTTATCTTAAAAAAATACAGGAACATGGTAGTACGGGCCTGCGGTTGCCATTAGGTTTGCAGGAAAGAAAAAGAGTGATTTGTAATGAGGGTTTTTTATATGGATTTGCAAACAAAAAAGTTTAGGTCTCCGGCCTCGGATTGCCATAAAAACAGTTTGCAGGCATCATGCTTCTGACAGGGCAGAATCGGCAGGAGATAATAGGACAAATTCTGGATCCAGGTGACATCTGAACCGATTTTGAACTAATGGGAAAACCAGTCTGCCTAAAACAATTGGTTACAAACACTACGTACTGCTGCAGAGGAGCCTTTCGGAAGATGACTAACTCACCAGCGTTGATTATAAACATCTCTTTTAAACAAATCTATCTGTGGTGCGAGTGCGTGCAAAGTAATAAGCATTTTTAGTTCCTGTAACATGTTGTTCACAATAAAAATGAGTGACTGAAACATACCTGGAGAAACAGATATTTTGTTAGAGAATTAACTCCATCCTTTTTGCTTATGCCCTTTTCATAAGCAGAGGCAAAGACTAAACACGTGGAACTTCCAGTATTAAATTTTGCACTAGCAGAACCTATATCTGGAAGAAGTGACTCAAAAGGACAAATACATCTAGAAACCTCACTGTAGGAACTGAAAGAAATAAACTCCAAAGAATAAAAGATTGGATTGATGTTGAATTTTGGTGTTAGAGGGCAAACAGATCTCTTTTCGCTACCAGCAGGAACCTGAATTTGCAATGGACTGAGATGGCTAAGAATAAAATTTCCAAAAAAATAGGAAATAATTTGGAAACATATAACCCAGCTCTTTAGGTGGGCATCCACTATTATGAAAGGCAAGCCAAAAATCCTGCTCCCATATGGAAAACATCCATTGATCTCAGGGTGCGCTAAATAAAGCCCCAAAAAGGTTGCAGATCTGTAGGCCAATGAAATGCGGAAAGCCCAAAGTATGGTGCTGGATCTGGAGCTGGCATCTGGAGGATTGAGTCCTGAATCTTTCTTGTGGACTAGACCCGATAGTTTCCTGGGTCAGTATTTTCTGTGCGATTCTTATTTTATTGGCAGTCTCAAAGCATCTAAACCAGGCTACAGGAACTAGCGTCCAGAAGGCATCCTCCTGGTTGATCTTTTTGAAGTCAGAGGTCACAAAAGCTATCAAATTTCTGTAATTAAAGTTAAATTAAAGCTACTGTGGCAGAAGGGTGGATGAGAGCTCCTGCCATTGAACCCAATCACAAATTGGGCTGGCTGGAAGTGCTTTTGTGTTCTTGGAGCTTGCGTAGATGGCCAAAACTTGAACTTCATCAGGGAAAAAAAAGTTCTTTCCAATAAAATACCAGGCTTTTTGCCTGCCTGCTTAGCCTCCCATTTCTAAACTGCTAGGCAGATCTACAAAAACAATGAAAAGGAGAGGCAAGGATTCTTGTGAGTGATATCTTTTATTGGACCAGCTGCATAAGGGAGACACACTTTTTTTTTAAATCCCTGGGCTTGATTCTCTCCTCAGATTGATTTTACGTCTCAGTATAACTGCAGCCCTCACAGGAAGGATTCCTAATTTATTCTCGTGTTGTCCAACTCAGAATCAGACCCTGTATCTTTCATTACCAAGGAACTATTAAGGGAAGAGAGATGAAGGAAGTTGTGGGGTTCTGCGAATCACTCATTGCTCTCTTCCCTCTAAACCACAATTAAAATCCAGACCAGATGCTTTGCTTAACAACAACAACACCAACAAAAGGGCAGCTTTGTAGGAGACAAGCTGGGAGTTTGTTTCTCGTGTCCCAGTTCTCTTTTCTAATTCTGTTAAAGTCAATAATGGTTTTATCAGTGATTTCCAGTGGTAGCAGGATTAAGTTTATGCCACTGACAGCAGTGGGCTTTGGGATGGGCCCTTGGTGGACAGTAGTCCATGTGGCCAGAGGCACCATGCATACGTATGAATACAAACCAAGAGCCTGCAGGCCTAATTCAGCTCTGGCATATATAATCTGTGCCATTAAAATGAACACAGCTATACCTGACTGAAATCCGAATCAGACTTTATAGTTACCAAGTCAAATCCAAGGAGGGATCCTGCATTGCAATACCCTTAGACAAACCATCTCTGAGAAATGTTGGACTGCAGCTGCCTTCCGTGCATCCATCATTTTAAATGTAAAATGCAGAAAGTCATGCGAATTGTAGATAGCACTCCGTGTTGTATTTGTGCACGTCCCCCCATGCAGCGTGCTTTTAGGTGTCTGTAAACCTTGTATGGGAAGCTAAGGTGCTGGCTATGAAGTTAACATTGGATGTTTAGGGCGGGTTATTATTTTATGTGGGCAAGGATGAGTATTGTCCTTTGTGTCCAATGTTGGCAGTCAGCGGACTGGCATATTCCAGTTTCAGAGCTGACCACCCTTTCTTCTTGTGTTTGACTCGTAGATGTTCTGCGGGGTTTGGTTTTGTTTTTTAACTCGATGACAGAATCTGTTGCTAGGCTGTACGTTGGCTCTGTTTGTTTGTACATTTTTATGTAAATAGTTGTCACAAACGTGGAAAAAGAATTATTTATTTCCATCATCTCTGAATTCCTTTTCAGTCACGCATTCAGGAAAATTCGCATCTCTTAAAACACATTTGTTTCCTTATTTAAGATGATATTTATTAACAGTTGGCAAAATCTATGTATACATTTCTGGTTCTTTTCATAGAGCAGTTAGAAGCATTTTGTACAAACTAGTGAAATAAATCATTGTGACTTTACAAAAGATATTCCAACAACTTTGTGCCTTTGTGTGGTTATTCCAGCTAGATCAAAAGGGCATCTGGTTGAGGCTGAGTTTTCGCGCTGAGTGTCAGGGTTTCTGTATTGATCAGGCCTTATATATTGGTATAACGGGCACGTGTCAATGTCTAGTGAAGCTGCCTTATTCTAAATCCAACCAAGGGGGAAGACTAGGAAGAAAATATGAATGTTTTGCTGCACTGCAAAGATCCATGATTGAATTATAGTGCAGCTGTCAGCAGCTGTTTCAAAGAAGCAGGGGGTAAATTAGTTCTGTTTACTGCTAACATAGTTCAGAGATTTAGTCATCCCAATAAAATTACAGAGGCACAAGAAAGGAAAAAGAAACTCCAAAGGAACATCAGCCAAGAAACTGACATTTTCTAATTTAGATTGTTTTAGCATATTTCAGAGATGCCGCTGGCATGATGTTTCCTACTGTGGACACCACAGTGCATTGCTATCGAGGGAACTGGAAAAAAATTGCGGTCCAAAACCTGAATTAAGTAAACATTATACCTTAAGGGCACAGCAGCAAATGTTGGGTTCTTGCTTACTTTGAAATGCATGCAGACTTAGACCAGTTTACATAAATGTGTTGCTGGGTTGTAGGTGGAAATCACCAAACTCTTGGAACGAACTACAGTCTTCTGAATAGTAGAGACGCGTGAATACAAATGACAAGCGAATCCTAGCATTGCTTAGTGCTCTGATCCAAACCCAATGAAGTGCTAATGGAAGACTCAGTAGGCTTTGAGTCCTAAATCAGGCCCAAAACACCCAGAGTCAAGGTGTTCTTGGTTTTCTTCTAATCTCAGCCCAATTCTCTTCATTTATAAGCAGTGTAAATCAGGAGTAACTTCACTGAGAAAAAAGCCAGGCCTTCTTCTGGGACCGAGTTTGCCATAATGAAGTCAGTGCAAGTTGTCCCATTGACTTTGATGAATGCAGAATCTGTCTCCATTGGTTTTACTGACACTTCCCTTCAGCTTTGCCATGTACACAACTTACTGGATATGCCCAGCAGCAGCTGCCTCCTCCTGGGAGCCAAAAATCCACTCCAGAGCTTGTTAGCTTCCTATCGGTCCATAGTGTGACTGCGGTTTTCTCTCTAAATCTACTGGTTTGGAAAGAGAACTCCTGACATGAATATGTATGATACCAGAAACTGGCAGGGCATATAAAACCCATGTGAATCAGCTTCAGAATAGTTATATTTGTCTGAGTAATGCAACCAGAAAGCACGGCTAGTACATCCTATAGGCTGGCTGCTCTAAGTTAGTTTCAGCCTGGGCTCGCAGATGTTATAATTTACTTAATGAAGATGCATTCGTTTTCCTCCATTATGAAACAGTTATTGTTATTAGGCCAGTGAAGTCCCGCAGTCTTTCGTCAGGTAACACCCTCTGTGTTGCCAAGCTTTGCAAAACAAAAGATAATGTATTTATTTAAATAAGCTGGTGAAATTTAACCTTTCTGATCTTATTTATGTGTCAGCTGCAGAACATAAAAGCAGAGTGGGGAAGTGGAAATAGCCCAAGCATTGCTCCGTGCTGTGGTAGCCAAGGTTTGCAAGATTTCATCCGCCGTTCTTTGTTCAGTCCCTCCAGCTCTGTCTGCAATTGGAACAGACCCTTTTAGGATGAACAAAACCAGAAGGACTCCTTTTTGGAGATGGGGACTTGCAACCCCAGCAGATTTCCAGCCAAGTATTTCTATTGCTGCCTTCTATGGCTGCCACAGACACATGGGTCCCTGTATATAGCCATTCCACTCAGGGAGAAATTCTGCCCAGTTAAGCATAAAGGGGCCTGTTTGAAGTTTTTATTGATCAGGTAATGATTGACAAGAGCTTGAGGCAACCCACGGGCATTTTATACTAAGGCCATTCATTACCCAAGTACAAAAGAGCCCAAAAGGGTCATTATGGCCCCTGCAAGAGTTAATAACTTATTTGTGTTGTAAATAAAACTACCCACTGCTAAAAGTTTCCACTCCCCCCACATCCGACTCTGGCTGTAAGCTCTCCAGCTGCCACCTAAATCATTCGGAGATTTTAAGCACCGCAAAGGTTTATTTTAATAAATGCATTATGTTTTGTTTACCCATTTGATTTCCTTTGGCAGGAGCTGTTTTATTGGTGAAAACAAGTAGATGGTGGGTCAGAATATTAAAGATGGGGTATTACCGCCTTGAAAAGGGCCATCTCTGTAGGATTTCATTAGAAAACTACTCAACCAACTTCTCTCCCTTACAGCTCTAATATGACTTAATTGATCAAGTAGAACGTGTCCAGTACAGGGCTGACAAGGTTCTTTGGGTAAATCTGACATCTTTTATTACAGAATATTAATGAAGTTCCTTCATCATCTCATTTGCCTTTAAAAAAAAAGGTGGGGAGTGGGATGACAAATCCTGCCCTGAGGGCTCACCTTGGAATCCGTTAAATAAATGCTTAACTTGCTCACACAAGTAATGCCACTGACCTCACAGGCACCATTTATATAGGCACAGTTAAGGACTTGACTGGTTGACAATTAACACAGGGTCTGATCCCGCAGTGCAGATGCTCATATGAACCTTCCCTTGGAAAAATCATTTTGATTTCCTACACTAAAAATGCTGGGCTGGAATGAGGGGGCCGCAGGGCTTCCCTGGACTCGCACACATTGAAAG